TCCCCAAACAGGACCTCACAGGACGGCCAACCAGACCAGCGGCTCAGCTGCCGATGCCGCTGGCGCCAGGGGTCGCTCCGCAGCCTGGGGCAAGCGAATAGCGCCTCCGTCCATGGGAAGAGTTAGTCATGACCTACCTACGGATCATCCGTTTCTGGCGATCTAGATGAGGGTAGTACGGACTGATGAAAAGAACTCAGACGTTGTATTTCTAGTGCCAAGTCTCAGTCTGCTTTGAGGGACCGAGCCAGTCATTTCTGGGGGCACGAGAGAACATTCCTCGAGTACGTATTTTGCGAGTCCAGCGAGTAGCAACACTCTCTTAGTGAGCATGCATACGCATTCAGCCAAAGCCAAGTAGCACGCATGGACCGCCCTAGCTCTGCCATCACTCTGCAGCTTCACACAGCCGACTGAGGCATCAACTTGCCCTCCAAGGCGTTCAATCTTCCAGTGACCTGCCGAGGTCGATCGGAGTGTCGATCGGTTGGACTCTCCAAGTGGTCTCAAGATAAGCAACTTCTGTTTCTCCACCAACGATGACAACAAAAACAGCGGTCACCTGGCAAGCTTGAGAATCTTAATTTTCATTCCAGAACATCTTTGAATTTCTTCACACTTGGATTATTTTTACATGAGAATTACAATAACCTTTCCAAAAACCACATGGTTCATCATTTTTCCTGGCCTGAGCAAACGAAACCATGTTCTTCCAGCATCCAAACATGTCCATCATGAACCCCCGCCAAACGCTCCTTGTTCACCCAACAAAAAGGCAAGTTGGAGACCCGTTCTGCCGTGTCCCGTTCTCCCCACCGCCGCGCGACCTGGTCCAGGTCGTCGCGGGCCTCTGCGAGATCAGCACCTCAGTGTGAAGAGGTCCGGGCCGCGGCCCTCCCGGGCGTTTTCCAGAAAAATCGCGGCGCTGCCAAGGCCATGGAAGCCTCTGAAGGAATTTTGACCTCTGATGATTTTTTTTGAGGCAAACAGCTAGCAGCTTGCCTCAAGGAAATATGTCTTTCTTGCTTCAAGGCGCCTTATCAACCGAATATTGTGGTCAGTACAGGAAATGATAAAACATCCAATCAAATGGGACCTGAACATCATCATGAATTCAGAACCTCCTATGTTTTTTTTTCCTGACTGGTTATATAGATCTGGTTGTATAATAGTTATATAGATTTCCGAGATTTCGAATGAAAGAACATGGATGTTGAAAGGATCTACTATGTGGGGGCGAAGCCTCCCCATTCTCATCGCACCAAAAACACACACACACCACCACCACCACCACCACCAACAACAACAACAACAACAACCACCAACAACCACAACAACAACAACCAACAACCAACAACCACAACAACAACAGCAGCAGCAGCAACAACATATAGACATAAAGCCTTTATCGTTCTCCGGCTTTGCAGGATTCTGTCCATCAGCAGTATGGCATGCGAGGACAGAACGCAAACATGGGGTAGATGGATGTATAGAATATAGCCAGTCACTCTGTATAAGAAATGATACGACATTGTTTCACTCTGTTTCAATGGTTTTCGAATGGTGCTTGCTGTGATATTCAATGGTTGTCGAACTCCGTCTCCAAGGGTGGCTTCCTAGAGTCCTAGAGTCCTTGCTCTTCGGGAGCTAACCTGTATATGCCCAGCGTCCCAATTCATCATTTACCTCATCATTACCTGTTCCGTTTACTAAGTGTCTTTTTTCACATGGAACTCCAAAGGTCATGCGGTCCTGCAACAAAAGTGATGGATCTCCTGTCTTTTCGCAGTAATGCAGCATTTAGCGCGACCGGAGCAGCAAAATTGATGTACACTCTTGGCTAGCAAAATGGATCAAATCGATCGGTCAGCATTGTACACTCCTCGCAGCATTTATCAGCTCCTGTGTTGTATCCAATTCAACCCTGCCATCCCGACGGAAAAACCTCGGAAAAACCTCTGAGCCTCCCGCTGAGCCGTTTGCTCTCCTCTCGCAGGTCATCATACTCCCGGCCTAGGCAGTCATATTCGACAGCATGCAGATCAAAGGTGTTCATAAACATATAAACATATTGAGAAAAACACACACACACACTCACACAAGTTTTTCCGGTGTTGGGTCCTTCAAGGAAGAACACCTCCTCCACGTGGAGCCACCCAAACGACGCAAAATGGTTCCCATACATTTCCCTATTCTATTGTTCTTCTTGCAACAGGACCTCAGTGGTGCTTCATTGGGTGCTTCCCAGTGGTATCTTCACGGAATGTGGTCTTGGGAAGTCGTGAGAGCGACGTGGTACGTGTGGGAAACAGATCTTGTGGTCTGTCTCACAAGTACAAGTCAGTTCATTCATAGAGCGACGGCCTCTATCTCAGATGGTTACCATATTCATCATATGCTTGCTTCAACGTGTTGAAGGAATGATTTACTAGATTCCCCAAGAACACTCAAGCTCCACAAGATCCTTCGACTTCAAAGCCCATGTGTGGTATTTGAGGACCACCACAATCTCCGAACCACCACGACAAACCGCACACCACTCCATCCACGCCTTTGGAAAACCCTCCACGCCTTCACCCCGTGAACCAAATACCCCAGGCTTTCCGGCGCTGGTCGGGGTGCAGCTCATTCAAGCGCTCCTAGCGGCGACGTCGTTCGGTGTTTTCGTGGCTGAGAGGCTCCAAAAACCCGCACCTTTGCCTGCCACCGAAAAGACTTGCAACCACCTTGGACAGGTGAAGGGAAAAGAAATGCAACCTGCTAACTTGCAGGGTTCAAACCATTGTGTGTTCAAATAAAGACTGGCAGCACATCAACGTTCTTCATCAAAAGCATCATGTTACGGTAGAAATGTCCTCCCAGCCTCCACCACTCACTCCATGTAATCCCCTCTCTTTGATCTTTGCTTCCAGGTGTGCGCGGTGGAATCTCAATGTCTTGCTTGCACTTACATATCGTTAGTGTAAGATCAAAAACATGAATCAACTTTTTCAGAAGGGAGAGCAAGAACATACTCAGTGTACAGATCAGGGTTCTGGAAAAAACATTATGCAGTACTAAACAAAACAAATGCTGATGTCATTATGTTTGCTGTCCAAAGACGCTCGAATCGAAGGATTGATGATTCATGACTGATTCATGACCTGGAAAAGAAAGGGTTGCGCTTGAGAGATCTTCATTTCGTGACACACCTTGGAGAACAATATGCGTTCAAGGCAATCTTTTGACCGATACAAACACGAGTCCGACGAAAAGACATCTGTTTAACGTGTTTAACCTTTAAATTTCAATTGTTTGTCAGAGTGTCACTGAACGCGATCCAGTGATGCAAAAACACTGGCATGAGGCATTTCTGCCAGCTTCTGTATATTCCCCAGTGTTTTTTGCCCATGGACAGATTACCATGGTAACATTCGGAACAACCTCCAAGGAGCTCTTTGCCCTTGACAGTGAGTTGGCTGAGTTGGCTAGGTCAGAATCCTAGTGCTCAGTAGCTCTCATGCACACAAAGAAACTGAACAAACTGGTCTGGATGGATGAATGTTCACCACGGTTTTGTGTAAGTAAACTGTGATCCAATCCCAGCCGCAGTTGTCTCACAAATAAGGTAAACACATGCAAATGTCCCCCAAACCTTCCATCTCCACCTCCATCAGTGATGTTCATGTATTCTATCCAACTCCCCCTCCAGCTGTCCACATCACATTGGTCTTGGACTGGACTCTGTAGTAAACATGAGCAAATAGATCCAAGGACCAGGCTTCGTCTGTGTGTCAACCCAACCATCACATTGCTGCTCGCTCCTAGTTGACACCACTGGTTGACACCACTCATTGATTCCAACTCCAACTGCAGAAAAGGAAAACAGAAGTAAAGAGCCACCAGCTCTTTGCTTTGAAGTAACTCCTTGCTTTGAAGTGGCTTGCCGTCCGCTTTCCACGCCGCAGAAGAAGCCACCAGCTTCACCGTTTCCAAGCGCTCCTCCGCCTGCCGGGCGATGGCGGTGATCTCCTGCTCCATACCTCGGACGGTCGTCCCGGGAGACCGACCGATACTGGGGAGGTCTACCCTGGTTTGGGGCGAACGCCGTTTGACCAAGCGCCAGATCAGATTATCATATATGTATATCATTATAATGATTATATAAAATACACTATAATATATATATATATTATACGTGTATTATTGTTTTTAGTGATTGTATAATATGTATTCTAATATACACTCACTGCCTGGAAGAACCATGGTTACATGGATGGCACCACCTGTTTGATATGAAGGATGTTTCACGACCGTGCTCACGTCCGTCATCTTGGGGCCATCCCATCCCATCCACGGCCAGCCCCACGATTCTTAGGGAACAAAAAACCTTGAGAAAACAAAAAACAAAAAAAAAAAACAATTCTGAGAGACTCTTGCTTGGACCCCCCAAAATCAGAAGAATCAGAAAACCAAAAAAACCTTGGGAAAACCAAAAAAAACAAAAAAAAAACAATTCAGGGGAAGTCTTGAGGAAAAGGGGGTCCAGCCAAGAGTCTCTGAGAATTGTTTTTTTTTTGGTGTTTTTGTTTTTTTGTTTTCCCAAGGTTTTTTTTGCTCAGAAACCAACCCCAAACTCTCCAGGATGTCCCGTAGCTGACTTACTCCGTGATCAGAACCATCGGAGCATCGAGGGAGGAGACCAGTGGAGCTACACACCCACACCACCTGCAAATTTGTCAACAGGGACTTCCACAAGTAGTTGGTGGGATCCATATTATATCCACAAATCCGATCTGCAATATTTCACTAAGCTGAACAACAAGCCCGTCTTCGTAACGCCATCCCGAATTGGGTCAGCACCACCCTACACCAGTTGGGTGCGAGATAGGGAGACCTTTCAGGCAACGAGCCCAGGCAACGAGCCCCCTAGAAGAAGGAAACTGGACCCGTCTACCCATCATTGGTTGGGAGCTTGGGAGGTCCGGATCTTCAAATACACGACACCTGATCATACCTGATCACTCTTGGGGACGGTCCGGAGATGATCCGTCACGCTCACTCGCGGTCGGGGCGCGGCCGATCTCCTCTTCGTGGCTCCGTTTCTCCAGGAAGATCTGATCCACGTCGGCACGTTGCTGCTCATTCTGAGACCTTGAAGGACCGATCAGGAGCGAAGCCGAAGGAACCTGGCTCGTCCTGGAGATTGAAGAAGCCTCCAAAAGCTGAGAACTTGCTACCTTGGACTAGTGCTTAGAGGAAATGGGTCCCAAGGTGTCTACCAAGCACCAGTAAGAGATCGAGGACCCATTTTGCCCCCATTCTCAAATACAGTGAAGATCGGTTGCAATCTTTGTGCAACTGCACAGAAAAAAAAAAACACGTCTCACCAACTGAGAGGCAGACTTCATGATGGTGTACATGTGATGAACCTCCTCCGGCCTCGTGTCGGTGCCTCAGTGATTCACAAAAGCCACCGGCTTAAGAGCCAATTTTTAGGCGGCAGAGGAAGCAAGAGTCCTGCCAAATGTTTCTCCTAGAAACGCTGGTCAAAACGCCCCCCAAAAAATATGCCACTGCTGCTCATCAGCTCCTGTCTCTCTCTCTCTCTCTCTCTTTGGTAAACTTGCCCAAGAAACGTTGCTTGTCGGTGGCCAAGTTGTGATCTGCCAGATCCCCCTCCAACGAACGGACCGTCTTCACCAGCGAGTCATAGCCTTGTCGCCGGGCGCGAGCCGCGAGCCGACGCGGAGCGGAGGCGGGAGGGAGGCGGGAGGGAGCGCTGGGCGGATGGGTACTTCGTCCGGAACTTAGGTGCTTCGGTTCCCTAAGTGACCTCAAACAGGAAAGATGGGGCATGCGGGAAGCCGTGGATCAGGTTTTTGTTGAGACTGTGGTGAGAAATTATTTTGAAAAGAATGGCTTTAGAGTGGAAGCGTGTGGATGACAAGTATGTCGACCCCCTAAGAAATCCCAGCCCTTGTTTCCGATGGAATCTGTGTACAGAGACTCTAGTCAATCGATTCTGCTCAATGTTGAGGATAACATGTTCTGAACTTGTTGGTTCCTATATTTGGATTGCTTTGACTTCATGTTCTTGTACTGTCCATGTCCTGTGTCATGTACATATTGAATAAGTCTTGGATCATACAAGTTGAGCCCTTTGGATACTTGTTCCGACCCTTTTGATATTGCAATTGCGGGCTTCCTTTCAACATCGATCAAATCCAGGAATCATGTGTGTTATTGTATAACGCCTTCATGAAGGGTACCTTGTTCAGGTTGATGTTAGATGATGTTAGACTTTTGTTGATACAGTTCTAATAGCACTTGAGGATGGTCTTAGAGGCTAAAGTTCTTTGTTCGAATGGTCAAACTGGGGCCAAAGGACATCCGATTCTGGTGGTCCTTAACCCTCTGGGATAAGAACAAAATGACACCGTTCAACAACAAGCAAAAACAACAATGAAATACATGCAAATTGAATGATAAATTAATGACCATTGGATAAGCAAGCAATCCACATGCTTGGCGTTCTTCGTCGTAGTTTCTTGAATGATCTTCGGAGTTATCTAGCTTTATTCAAGGGTCTTCTATTGTACTAACAAACACTCGGTTGAGCTTCAACAGCTGCCTCTTGACAAACCCGAAACAATTTCACAATCAAGGATGCTGTAGTCATTCACCAAATTGTGATTTTTGCAAGAATATCAGAACTATTGTAACAATGGCCAATGGCCCTTGTACAACATTGATTTGACTCCATGAAGGACTCGACCAGTCAAAAGAATTCTGAAAAGTCCTGTGAAGAATTCACCGTCCACCAGATCCCTCTTTCGAACCGGGCGCTGGTCGAAGCACACCTGCTAGCATCCATTGGCTGCGCGTTCTGCCACGCTCTGTAACGAGCACTTCTCAGTCCGAATCTGGGACCCCCAGGCGCTTCTCCAGAGAGGCGTAGACGTTGTTGTCCTACAGAAGCACCGACGTTGGGGCGTTTCGTGGTGATGTGTCATCTCATTGCGAAGAGTTTGCTGCAGGAATACGGCGAGAACGCACGACAGAATACAACCACTCAAGATCTTGAGTCATGGACAAAGACCGCACCACCTGAGCAATGTGATTCCCGCATGCATTTCTACAAAATGATGCCAGCGTTCGACAAGTACAAACACCAGAACTCGCGGAAAACTTTGACATCTCTTGGAACTTACAATATGTTACAATCCTTTGCCAAGGCAATAGAACAAAACTTACCCCAATCACGCAGGGAAGGAATCTGTGAACAGTGGAGCCACACGACCAAACGCTCAAACTTGAAGGTCCTGAATTAGGTTTGCTTTCCAGAGACTTGGAAAGAAAAGGTATGAACGATCCGGGCCATCCTTTGGAAGTCTCATGTCCGAATCCTTTCGAAGGCATGGCCTCTTGGACATCTATCACACATGAGCTTGCCGTAGCTTCAGTTCCGGTGGCGAATCCATGGTGTGCCCACCCCCCACACCCGTTTGGTGGTGCCGGGACAGCTTCACACGTCGGGTGCATGGCCCGTCCTGCTGGATGTCATTGGCCTCTTTGTTCAGTCGGGACACCTCGTCCACCAGCTCCTCATACAAGAGCTAGGGAGCGAGTTCGAGAGAGCTAAGCTGGCGTTTCTCCCAGCTGCGAGTTCGACGCGACGCAAGGGCCTGCAGCTTTAATTCAGTTAGAACATAATCTGGTCAAAACGTTGATGAGTAACACTGAACAAAAAGGGCTGGTTCAGTTGGCGGTGTCTGGGTGACTTGGTGGCACCAGATTTGAAAGAGATTGTAGGACACCCTGCCAAACATGGGATTTGTCTTATCCTATAGACCATGACATGTTTTTGTCTCAAAGTAGTTTGGGGAGAATCCCAAACCCTGTGGCACTCCCTGTGGCTGTGTGGTTTTAAACATGAGAGCGCCTCTCAACCATGAGTTGGGTATGAGAGGGCATGTTCATACAATCAATTGACATACATTGACATTTTTCCTACTGTCACATTATAAACTAAACGTGTATATATATAATGTTTCAAGATGTATACGCAATCTTCCCATTTGTAGGCCTCTAGCCTCTAGCTAACATGGGAGCGAATGTTTCTTGGGTCAGCTGAAAATGCTTGTTTTGAAATGTTCTATACGCCCTAAGCGGCTTAAGTGTTATTAGTTATTCCGAATATTCAGTCTTCACTTCGGATATTAGATGATACCAACAACATCTTCTCAAACGGCCATCTGGGTGCATGAATCAACGACGTTCCGATATATTTCCAAATCCTCTTTTGAGGACAAAGCATCGAACCCCATTGACCTCTCACTCCAAAAACACCGATCAGGAATCCTCTCGCGTGCAACATTTGGACCTTTGCACGACGGTCCTGACACCTCCTCCGCAACTCCACCAAGTAGTAGGTCCGGTCCTTTCTGCGGTTCTTACGCCCACGAGAAGGGAGGTCTGATTGTTCGATGGTGGCAGTTCTGCGCTTCTTCAAAGGCATCTCTGGAGATAGTGTCCAATGGAATGGGGCAGTCCCCTGTACTTGGCGTTCACTACCAGGGTCTTCCAAAGCCTGGCCTAGAAAACTCAAACGTTCAAAGAAGAAGAAGAAGAAGAAGAAGAAGAAGAAGAAGACAAAGAAGAAGAAGAAGAAGCAGGAGGGGAAGAAGAAGAAGGAGGAGAATGAGGAGGAGGAGGAGAAGCAGAAGGAGAATAGGACGAGGAGGAGGAAAAGCAAGAGCTCTGAATGGACCCCATCCTCTGACAAAGGACTCCATCCGTACATCATCAAAAAAAGTATGTCATGGCCGCATCGCCCGGCAACAAAAACGGAGGTGATACATAGCAACCCCAAACCGGCGTCTTGACGTGCCAGGATGGCTCTTGACTTACTTGGCAAACTCGGGAGAGGAGTGAATCTGATGGCCAACCACTAAACACCTAGCAATGTCCATTGGCAGATCTGTACACTTCAGAAACCATCAAGGTCAGTGTCTGTACCTGGCCCTACTGGGCCTCAAGTCAACCCTACTGTCAACCCTGTATCACCAGTGTGAACATCCACAAGATGAACACAAGTCCCTCTTTCCGATTTTGCCTCGTCTGTCAGGCGTCTTCAGGCCATTTGACTCCCACCCGCCACCACGTTTTCTCGCCTTCTTCGACCCCGCCACCCGACCCTGTCTCCGACCCGGCTCGGTTGGTTTCTCGGCCAAGAGGCGTAGATCTGTCTCTTGGGCCCGAGTGAGCCGGTCTTCATGCCACTGACGCCTGGAGAGGCCAACAAGAACCTCGTCTCGTTCCTGGTAGCCACCCCAAGTGGTCGAACTTGGATTCTTGTGGATGGGGGTTCCAGGTGGTTCGAACCAAAGGAAACGTCACTTGGCTTCAGAGTAGGCACAAAATGGCACAAACACACCCCAGTCGTGGTCGTTTTCTATGGAGGTCCATGTAAACCACCGACCTTGGGGATTGTGCCATCTACTCTCATCAATCCCTCTCAATCCACTATAATTAACTTGGTTTCATACAACATCATAGAACATGTCACCTTGCACGGATAAAAACAAAACAATCGGAGGTGACATTGTGTTTGTGATGGATGAAGATTGGCACCAGTCGCATCTGATGACGAATCGTCAATGGATGCAACTGTAAGTACCCAACGATACTCAGTGGTGATTTACTGGACCCAGGCATGTGCTGCAGTCGCTTTGGGTGTTCCTTTTGCGTCAACAAACGGCTGGATGCTCTCCTCACTCGCCAACGGACGCTGCGACAGCTCACCGGACCAGTCTCAATTCCTCAACAGCTGGCACCCGCGGTGCACGGTGCCAGTGTCTCATCCATGGAGAAAGGCCGCGGCAAGGCCGCGATGCAAACATCGCGACTGTGTCGGCGTTGGGGGGAACAAACATAAAGCCAGGCTGTGCAAGTGCAAAAGATTCCCAAAGAACTTGCATGGCACGTTTGAGGTTTGCGCAAAGATGCCGAGCACTCAAACTAGCCCCGTCAGATATAAACTCTATAAACCTTTACGTCTCTTCGGAGGCAGCACTCTGTCGATCACCTGGTATACATTCAAACATCATTAACACACATCTGACTACAGTATACAATACGGAACAAAACCGACGTGGCACTTCACATATAATATATATAATATGTATATATATATATTATATATATATATATTATAGCTCCTGTTGTACACCGACCTACTGAGAAGGTGGTTGGGGTGTAAGTGGGGGGTCTAACTACCCTCTGAGGATGTGGTTGGAGCCCTAGGTAGATGCATGATCGAAGCACATCTGGCCCAAAAGGTCAAAGGAAGTGCGCTGGCCGTTTTCGGTCCAAGCTGCACCTGTGTGCTACGCAGCAATTTGCGTTGTACAAATTGGAAGAATTCCCAAGAATAGACAGATGTTGAAATCTTCCAATCGAAAGCACAGTCACTTCAAGGATTTGCGGGTGAAACCGGGCGCTCGCGATCAGCGGTCGATGCTTCCATCTGCAAAAATCCCCAGGTCAGTGGTCTGAGGCTGTTCAACATGACCTGAGTCAGCCCCACACAGCTGGTCCGGGGGAAGGTCAGTAAAGAACACAGCTGGTTTCGAATCGGTCGAACTGCTTTCAACCTCGAATTCGGACGTCGGACACCTAGCGTTTCATTGGGGCACCGCCCAAATGGTTCCATTTTCAAGGGATCAATCAGTCGACGAGTCCCCACGCTGGGTTTCAATTGGGTCCACCTTGAGAGTAAATTGTCCCGATATGTCCCGGTGGATCTCTACAGTTGTGTCACAATGAGGAAGGGTCCAAGCAATTTTGTAGGGCATTGATTTCCCCCAATCAGCCAGGAGGGTACGGAATATGGAAACAGCCAGTCGCAGTGTGGCTGAGGGTGGAAATAGGCAAGTATGGTCTGATGCTCTGTGATTAGGATGCTCTAGCACCACAGGTTGTTAGATGTATGCGGCTATGCGCTTGCCTGTGTTGTTGGGGAGGCTGCCCCCCAATGCTGTGGCCACTGGATGAATGATCACGCAAAAATATCACATTGATAATCAGCTCCGCTTTACCAAGTGCCCTGATTGCCACCAAGCTGCCAGCAACAGGCTTCCGCTGTCGCTGAGAACGCCAAGCGTGAGATAAAGATGTCCTTTGCAATGGGCACATTGCTGTGCATGCAAGAATTCCGCTGGCCCGGCCAATTACGCAAAAGAACAAATGTCAACGATTACACTCCATTTCAGCAAGTGACACCCTCCTGCGCTCCGCCGCGCTAGAGGAATTAAATGACTTATGGTGGTCAGAAAGCCTGTGGACTGAGCTCCTTGACTCCCACCGATACGACTCATCAGCTCGTGTGACGTGTCCTGGGAAATTGGATGATGATGGTGATATTCTATACATTCTCGCAAACCCTTCTCGGAAAATAGCAATACGATACGATGTGTACCGATTCGTAGACTGGAAATAGGACGCACCCTCATGTGTCCCTTCGGGGATCCTCACCACGTTGATACACCAAATTGAAGACTGGGAGATGGCCATTAACTACTCATCCCCACCACAGGATGATTCCCACCGCAAGGAAAAAGCCGATCATGAAGCTGACCATCGAGAAATCGGGGGAAGCATGGCCTTTCCCCCCCAAAGAAGTGCACAGGAGACCTCGACGCCATGGGAGACCTAGGCGTCGAAAGCGCCTGCCGCATCGTGGAGGGTACACATACCTGTCAAAATCACCCGTGTCCCAGGATCCTTTTCTGGAGGTCTCTGTGGCTGATCAGACCTGAAAACCTCGTTGAGGCCACAACGAAAACTGAGTGAATTCAAGGATGGCCAAGACACCAGTGAAGGCCAGAGTCAAGGCTGTGAGCTTCACCAAGATGGCCTCAAGTTGTCGCGTTGTGAATATCCATGAATATATGAAGCCAAACCATCGCACATACGGCCTCCACGTTCTCACAAGTGAAGGATCAGCAGTTCCCAGGAGTGGAAGTTCTCATCTTCGAAACCGCATGTGGATAGTGAGGGATTGGGGATTGGGTTGGTCGGATTGCGGACCATATAACCCCACAAGAGAAAGACATGGTATTTTGATGTGTTTGGCTGGGTGAGTCCTCAAAGATCCTCAAAGCAACTAAATAAATCTTCCAGTCCCCTGTTTGGTCTGGGTATTATAGGACACTGTTGTTCTCACTTGGAGAATACATAATAGGGCAGGGAAAGGTTCACAGCCAAACTATGCCAAACTCAGGCATCTGCGAAGGCCAGGTTCTGTCTGATGAGGTCCTCACAACAGCAGGCCGCGTTGTAATCTGAATGAGATTAATTGGCCTGTTGAAACTGATCTTCTCCAAAGCACAAAGCAGTCGCAAGAAAGGGGTACAAGTCGCAAGGCGCTTTGCGCCGTTTCCGTTGGGGTCCGAGAACAACCCAACGAGCGCAGGTCCGAGGACCTGTCACGAACTGGGGTAGTCCATCCCCCGTCAATGCCTGAAGTGCCCTGTGTCCCATCACAAATCATCTTGCTGTTACAATGAGGAATGCTCGCCAGCATCCTCGTTGTGTTGGTTCTTGAGAACATTGAGGGGAAGCACATCTGTCGTTATGACTTGAGTCTTTCAAAAGTCGGAAATGCCCGTCATACTTCCCTTAGCAAGCTATACAAGTAATGTGACAAAGTCAAGAGCCATGCACCGTATCAGCAAGCTATATCTGATCTTGGAACCCATCTGAAGGAGACTACAAGGACCCCTGCACAAAACACTTTGGTAATTGATCTATCCAGACATAAACACAAAAACTACATGTGGAATCACTTCCAACAAATTGGGAGTGCCTTGACTTTCGTCTTTGAGCAAGGAGACCAACCTTTGGATGAACTGATCTACCCTTCGTCCAGGACAGTCCCAAAGTGGGATCACTGTCCAAAGAGTCATCACTTTAAGTCTCAGATTCTTCAGATAGTCAGGCAAAATGCGGTCACCCATCTAGTCATGCCAAATATGTTTAGTATTGATCATTGGACTAGGACTAGGAGGCCGCGAGACCATTGGCCAAACACTTCCCTCCCCTTTTGGCCCAGTCCGAGCTGACCATGCCCCGGTCCGAAGAGAAACTCGCTCCCTCTCCTTGCACTTCTTGGCAAAGTGTAGCGCTTGGACGAAGCGCTGCAGCATCTGCCCACCACTGCCAATCACCACATCCTGACCCGGCATCCGACCCCGCTCGGTTCGTTTGGAGCGGCCAGAGATGGTCGGCTTGCCAACCTTTCGGAAATGATGAATGAGTTGGAACGATTGAGTTGGAGTGTTTGGTGCAGAGGTCAATACCCGATACAACCCGATATGATATATGATGATATATGTCTATCTATAGGACTGTTGTTGGAGGTCCCAGCAGCTCGGCTCTCCGTCTTCAGAACTGGGAATGGACGCTTGGGCTCCCAATGGACCAGGAACATGCCGTGGAACAGGGGCTGTGCAACCAAGGAGATGAGGATGGGGCAAAACCTGGAGCCTGACCAGTTCACCATGCAGCGAAAGACCGACGCCAGGTAGGTCAAACGGTCGGTATGGCAAGCTCCTTGACCAAGATAGACAAAGGCTTGAGGACACCAAGCACTTCAAAGTGTGCCACACGAAAACATCTAATATAGGATCTAATAGGACTGTTCAGCAGGGATGTGTGATGTGGGACGAGATGTTGTGTGTGTAGTTCGGTTGAATCCCCAGCCCTAAACCCACATCAAAAGCTTGATCACCTTATCCTGGTTCTTGAAAGTGACCCTTTGACAAACTCCAATTTGAGGTCACATGGTGATCAAAGACTGCAAAGGTGATGTGCAACACCTTGCATTCTAGAGCAGCCTGTTTAAATAAACCCGGATATACACACCATTGAGTCGCTTCTGAGTCCTATATCCGAAAAGACTCCTTCGAGTCGACAGTCCTGTGCACCGAAAGTGGTCTGACCTTGCTTCACTTGCACATGTCAACCAACCGTCACCGGCATGGACACGCTTCATGGATGTCACTAACTTGGGGATGTTCTCCATGTTGTTCGGTCTCACTGTGAACCTCCCATGAGCACGTCGGAGTGGTGTCCGCCATGCTTTGACCATCTTCGCCGCACGGCGAAAAAGAACACGACCGCGAAAACAAGCGTCCGCCGCATCACAAGGCAGCTGCAGGCCGCTGGCGATGGCCACGCCCAAATCCGCCGCCGCCAACGCGGGGCCGTCGTTGAGGCCGTCGCCCAGCATGCAGGTAGCTTTGACAGCCTGGGGGAAGTTTGGGGAATCTGCTTGGGAGGGCAGGGAGGGGCTATCTTTGAGGTGTTGGCGATACCAGTGCCACCTCTACCTCGACTGTGGCGATGAAGCCTATGCTGAATTTGTCAAGCATGTTATACCTGGTAGGCACTTTACCAGGCCTTCTGTGTCAACCAAGTGGGTTGTACAAAAATAAATGCCATAACCAAAACAGCGTTATCGCCACTTCTTTTCCTCTTGTCTAAGTCTGTTTTTCACGGGTTGGGGTTTGGTATTTTTTGCGGATGGAGTTCGCTGTCGTCCTTGTTCAATGGTTTGGAGTATATAGTATATTATTAGATAACACATAATAAAGCATATATACTTATAAATTTATATACTTAGATGTTGTATATAGGATAGGCTCCCTTCCGAAGCTGCACGGATTCGCACTTTTCTTTCAGTCTCCACTGCCTGATGAGGTTGTGAAGAAGAACTGGGAACGGAATGGGGCATCGTTCTTCCGAGATGATTTTGCAACATGTAATTAATGCTGTTGTTTGATGTTGTTTGTTTTAATGTAGTGTATTGTATTACCAATCGTGTTTGAATCATGCCATAAGTGAAAGTGAAAGCGTGGGAGAAATGAAGAGAAGCTTGATTCCTATCAAAAGGATGCACAGGTCCAGCTCCAAATCAAGAAACACTGCAAATTTCCTTATCGGTTCTTTTCAACTTTTGTCTTTCTGATGCTTTTGCTCACCCCAACAAATTTAGGAGCTGCTCCTACAAATTGATTGATGGGGTCTATGTCCTACGTGTCAGAGTCGGGCGATTTTTTTGCAACACGAGCTCTGATGGTGGCCCTCAGCCTACATCTTTTCCTGCATTTCTTCAAACGCCATGACAAAACATACAAAAAGCACAAGGGAAATCACAAATAGCTACCTCACAAATCAGCTACCTTATACAATCTTATATACATATAGCTCAATCACATGAGTTATATATTGCTACCTCACAAATCAGCCCCTTAAACGATCTTCTTCCCTTTGAGACTCTCCACCTGTGTATTGTTCAGCAAGGGCTGATGGAGGCCGCTCTCCAGGTTGTTCGCATCACCACGAATCCAATTCCTCGGTGCTCGTGGAAGGAATCGGTCGAAATCAGTCGATTTAGGTCCTCCATCTGAAATAACCGCGCGTTTTCGAAGGGCCAATGAGTGGCTACGGTGCAGTAAGTGGCCTACAACTGATTGATATCATTGGACTTCCAGGTGTCCATTTGAACATACAGTCACTCCATGTCTGTCGGAGTTGCCCCCCAAAGACTATAAATGAACATATACATTCAAGTCGCTGTTCACAATGTCCATTGTCTGGAATGTCCTACTAATATGGCTACTTAAAGGTCCGCGTTTCCTCCCAAACCCTTTTATCCTCCTTCTTGTTACTGATAATGTAGACTCTTGATTCTTGATTAACAAAAACCCCTATATAACGGAGAGGTTTGGTAATCAAGGGTTGCACCGTGTAGCTTGATATTAATCAAAAATCAAGAGTCTGCATGACTTGTTTCTTCATCATTGTTCTTGACTATTAGCTCTTACTTACAGTAAGTCTTTCGCTGGGACACTGGAAGTGATCCAGTCTTAAGATGACAAATAAAGCTCATGCGCACGAAAACGTACTCTGAAAATCACTCAACGGAAAAGGAGCTCAATTGCCATATTAACACGAGTTGTTTCTGGTTATTTGGGTTACCAGTTACCAGTTTCCACCAAACAATTTGGTTGATGATATTATATTAGCGGTAGCTCTGGTTGGCACGAAACGATCACTTGACCACTTGCTGGCCACTGATTCTCAGGCATGAACCTCCAACATCCGTGCTTCGCTGCGGAACATGTCTGGACATGTTGAGCTTAATCTGGACAGAGTTTGTTACTGTTCATCCAGAAGAAAAAGAAATAAGCTTGTGTGATCAGCTTCAAGGAAAATTGAACATGGTAACATAGAGTATGCATAGAGTATATCTATAGATTACAGAAGTCTTCAAGAACGCGGCAAGTCCACGTTCCACGCCTACATACAACCACCTCAACCTATATCGCTCCTATCGCTCCTATCGGTCCTATCGCTCGCCTCTACGCCTCTCAAATAAATGAGCAAATCAAATGTTTAACAGTGAGCAGCTAGCCCACTTTCACCCAAACAAACACCCGGTTTTGCTCTGAAAGAGTCCTCATCCAATGAGCTCCCTTCCATGCGACCGCTTTTCTCCATGCCACCGACTGGCGACCGACTGGCGATGTGCCAAGGGTCTCCTTGTCACCGGGCGTGAGCTTGGAGCGCCTTCAGAAACACCGATGGACTCTGAGAAAAAGCGGCAGTGAGTCGCTCAACAGAATGCCGTGCTTCTTTAAACAGCGAGGACCTTGGGGTGCGACCCGTAGTACTACTTGTCCAGTTCCCCCTGATTCTTTCACCAAAGTCCCATCTTCCACATCAACTTACACTCCCCGGCCTCTCGCTGATGCCCAGCGCAGCACCCACCGCTTCGGCCGCCTTGCGCTCGTCGCCCGTGAGCATCGCCACGTAGACACCGAGGGTCTGCAGCGTGGCAATCGCTGCCTTGGCGTCCTCGCGCAGCTCGTCTTCCAGGCCTGGAGTGGAGACCGATTTGAGGGGTTTAGTAACTAAATGGATTCTCTACAACAAATAGCCTCTACAAGGGGTGTACGCCACCCAATTTCATAGAGGACATGTGAACGAGGTGGAGGGGTTTTGATGTGGGATGCCTGTAAACGGCACGGCTGAGAGGGGGAGGAGAACCACGGAGTCCTGTGGTTCTCCTTGGGCCCTTGGATCGAGAGTGGGATGCTGAGAAGTCTATCAGGTGGGCCCCGGGTGGGCAATGAAGTGGAAAAACATCTCGGTCTCGCAGTTGTTACTCTCTTGTTACCGAGTTCAATCGTCTCCAATCACCGTACCTCAGGTATGTGGATCCTTAGGGTCGTTTGAGTAGGACAACTGCGAAAATCCAGGGCCTCCCAGCGATTCCAAGGTGCGCACACATCCAGTGAATTTCATTCGTTAGACGAAACGAAGACACTTATACCCGACTTCAAGCGCTTCAAAGTAACCTTAAAAATGGGACATGACATGACCCTCGAAAAAGAGGTACCTTGTGCCATGCTTGTACCCATTTTCCGAGGTACTTCGAGACTGGCCTAAGAAGTCCAAACAAGGCCAAGCATGAAATCCAAGAAGCGCAGGATCATGGCCACGTCGTCCTACAGATGCCACGTTGTCTCCCAATGTGGGGGTCATGAGTTCACCGGACGTTCCACCTGAATGAGCCCCAACAAAGTGGTTCGCAGGTTGTCAATGAGGCTGCATGCGGAAAAAAACTACGGTTTCTGGGTACACAGTGACCACGGTGAAGGCTGGTGGTGGTGGTGACTTTGATGGTAGGGCTGGGTGGGCCTTGAATTTTTGACCTACTGTACATAGACCAACATGCACAACAGGTCGTCCAAGGTTCGTATACAAGATGTTTACTAGTTTTTACTGCAACCACCTTGAACGCTCGCAGTTGCCCGGCTGCCTGCAAAAGATCACTATGAATCAAGACGTCATGTTGTCAAACCACTTCGAGAAATGCTCGCGAAATCGCTCCACATATCATCTCACTTCAAAAAATGGGACCCACCACGGTCAGCTTCAAGCTCTGATCTCATTACAATTCTCTAAGTTGTGAAGGCTTCGCAGGTCTTCGCAAAACGTGCTCAATGTTCTGCTTTACGAGTACTTTGCAAAGGCATTTTCTACAGAAGTCTTGACTCTCCCAGTCGACCATGGCCTCTTGATGATGTATGTAACTGAGGAACTACCTTACAGTACGAGTAACTCTTGTTTAACAAAATGTGTAGGTAGGCTATACTCTTTATTATCAATAAAGATCAAATAAGAGTACAGCTCTGCTTGATCAAGTCATGTATAGATGGCATAGACCTGGTGTCATCTTTGACTGGGACATCGATCAACTATTTCTGCCGCACATTCAGGTCTGGTCCTGTTGTCTCTTTAAGCGGCCGTCCTCAACGGTCATGTACACGATGGTGGAAACGCCTCCTTGCTGCTCCCATTCTTTCACCTGACAGGGTGTCATTCTGGCCATTCTTTTGTGCATGATCTGGGAGCCATTAAGCTCACTTAAGCTCCAGCTCAAAAAAGGAACCGCCGCAGCGGCCTCACAATGGCCTCACACTACCAGCCTCCAGAGTGGGCAGGAGATGATCCACCGGTCCGTCTTGCAAAAGGGTAAGTGGATCCACATCAGCAACATCTTGAAGATGGTCTTAGAGTCTAAAGTACTTCCTTCGAATGGTCGTTGCCAACGGGGCCTTGCAGGACATCCGATTCGGATGGTCCAGGACCGTATGGTCATGAGAGTCTGTATGGTCACTCAAGTTCTCACATTCTCTGTGGTCTGTTTTCCATGTCTTCAAATCATCGAACAAAAGAGTCAGGAGACTGCTTGTGATTTTGTGTGTGTGTTGTTTTAAACGTGGAGGCCAACCAACCAAACAAAACCAAACGCAACCACTGTCTTTTCTGATCTGGTGAACTTTTTCGCCAACCGCAAAACAAGCTGATCCAAGATGATCCAAGTAAATCATGCGCAATTTTCCAAGGTCAATCTGCTATTACAGACAACACAGCCACAGCCACAGCCAACCGATCGCCTTCGCTTCGCCTTCCTTCGGCACATCGATGGCCATGGAATCCAAAAAGCGACGGCTGCCGGCACCGATGACCTCTCCGTTGCGCGGAGCACGTTCTTCGCGAAACACCGGGGAGAAGCGTGCCAAAGGAATTCAGAGGAGGATGTTGCATGGACATGGACCGGATGAAGTCTGGAGGCTTTTAAACATGATGAACTTCCAAGTAGGGAGTTTACATGAGATTACGAGTCGTTCAGGAGAATCCACCAATGCATTGGTCGAGTTCCCTAGTAAGCGTCCTTGCTCCTAGTAGCGATGCCAGGAGCCCCTAGTAGCGTCCTTGCTCCTAGTAGCGATGCCAGGAGCCCCCAGTAGCGTCCTTGCTCCTAGTAGTAAGGCCAGGAGCCCCTAGTAGCGTCCTTGCTCCTAGTAGCGATGCCAGGAGCTCCTAGTAGCTTCTATCGAGCCGTCAATAGCTGTCAGTGACATGATGTGTGCGTGTGTGCTGGACTGGTCAATTTTTGGGCGCTTCCCCAAGTTCTCGAAAAAGGTGAAAACCAGAGTCTGGGCGTATGCAGCTAGTCACTGCCTGGCGGCTGGTGGCACAAGGATGATGCTAGCTGCTATAGTTGGTAAACTCTGGGGCCGTGCGTCATCATGGGAACCCCTTTTCAAGATCTTGAAAGACTGTAGCGGCTGTATTGCAGGGATTCTTTTCCGATCTTCCCACGACGAAGCTCTCGGTCTTTTCCTGCAGCTTCGTCACTTCGAAAAATCCCTCGAGGACGTCCCACCCACCACCCAGCACCGGCCACCGCCCCCCGACCTGTCCGTCGATGATCCCCCAAATCCCCTGCGACTCCACTCGGGTAAAGCGCTCCACCTGCTTGTGAACATGGTGCGGAAGGGTCTATTTGGGTGCATACCCTGGGGCTCCTGGCCTACCTCCTGAAAAGATGCTTGGGGTGGGTGCCAGGGGTCTGTGCCCACCACCTTCCTTCTGGATATGGGATAGGAGCCTATGGGAGCCCTAGGTGCATTGTTCACCTTGGGTCGCAGTTTCATGAGAGAGTAAATGTTGCATGATGCGACCACTGAACATGCCCTACTAGGGATTCACTGCCACCCTCTGAGAGGTGATTGGAGACCAAACCTGTTGTGACATGTTGTGACTATGTAGGTGCCTTTGTCGGGTCCAGTCGTACCGAACCGGGTCAGTTCGGTAGGACTACATCCCTATAGAAATGGGTGAAGCATGGGTACCAGCCGACTCGACTCACGGGTTCGACCACTTGGCCGACCTCGTTCTCCGGACGACAAACCGGAAGACATCCGACCAAGTGGCAACCGGAAGACATCCGCCAGAAACAAGGGGTTCGTGTTTTGACATTTGTGTGGATAGTATAGAAAGGGCAAGGGGTGGGTTCATGTGGGTTCAGTCTGGCTGTGCGAAACAAAACCGGCCGAGAGGGCCCTTCAGAGTCTTTAAGAAGGTTTTTGGTTGAAATCTCAAACATGGATGGTGCAGTCAAATCAGGGCTCCCTATGAAGCTCTACATCCAAAGCGCACGCCAGACGTCAAACGGGACGCGTTTAGCTGGTGGTGCGTCGCTAGCAAGGAATGCAGCTGACTGACTGTATAGATGTTTTTGGAACCGTCATGCCCTTTGTTCCCTCATCTACACAAGCCTACTGATCTGGCCTCTGAACAGTACGACCATGTCAATAGTCTTGTATCCTGACTGTACTCAACAAACCTCTGGCACTTGCCCATCCACCTTCTTCACCTTGGCTGCTCCCAAACATTCAACCATCTCAGGAACAGCTCCTTTCAAGAAAGGACCACCTGACCTCACGTCCGGAAAAACCCGACCGCCTTGGGCAGCTTCACCACACCTTTGGCCGAGCTTTCGGCGAAGGTGGCGGCGCAGCCCACGTAGCTGCGGACCAGCGAGTTGGCCAAGGGGTGCGAGTCCTGCTCCGTGGGCTTCGGGCCCAAAACGGCGCGGATCGCGCGGTGAAGACGGTGGGGTCCTGAATTCTGCTACCTACTGTAAGACTTCCCGGTGGGGAGACAGGAAAGCGGACAAAGCCCCCTGGAATGACAGCTGGAGGGAGCTGGGAGTTTGGTCCGAAGCAGCCCCAAAACGGGTGGCACGGTGAAAAATGAAGTAGGAGTTGCACTGGATACCTTGGCTGTTCCGTCGTTCGATGGCTTCTTGAGGCTATTGGCAAGAGAGCAGATTTGGAATTCAATGTCAACTTGTGTGTTCTTTTCATGTTTCTTTAGATTTGTTTCTCCATGTTTCTGGTTGGAGAATCCCTCGCAGCTGACAATTGGATCCTTTGATTCACCGGAGAACGAAAGGGCGCCTGCGCCTGCGGATCGAACACATCCTCTCGCCACTGATAAGGTTCTAACATGTTCTAACTTGATAGACCATACCCCTATAGCCGCTGGCGACGCCAGAACTTCAAGAAGTGTTTTTTTACATTGACTTCTGCACACGATAGAACCTCCAAGCAGCTTTCGGTGTTGGATGTCACAGAGTTTTCCCCATTGGATGTCACGGTGCGGGTCAGCCCAGGTCCCTTCGCTCCTGGGACTCGAGTGCCGCCAGAAGCTTCAAGAGGTCCCTGAGCAGCGGAGCGGCGGATGACCGTGTGTGTCACCCCCTGTACCAAAGGGTCCAATGCCACCGTTTCCAT